TATATATATATATATATATATATATATATATATATATATATATATATATATATATAACTTATTGGCAGAGTTGGCTGGTTCCAGTATGACACGGCTTTCGATCGATTACATTTGATCGTGCTCCGCAATTATGCGCTCACCGACAACTCAATTGCTCGTCGTTGACGTTCTTGCTTTTCGCAGACAGTCGGCCTCCACGCTCCATGTAACATCAGCTGTTCCGCTTACGTCACTCGGTCCCGATGCTCGTGCCGAAAGTTCTCAGCACGCCTGTCTGTCGCGGTGGGACGAGCCGACGCATTAACGATTAAGGAGGAGTCGCCGTTGCATCGTTTCCGCACGCATCGGCCGTCACCATGTATCTCCGTGACAATCTTCGTGACGACGGTGACCTGACGCCGCAAGGACTTCCGCGTCTGGTCGTCGTATTTGCCGGACTTCCCCCGCTGGTAGCCTCTCTCTTTCACTTCGTTTAACGCGTTGTCCAAACGCTCCCGACTCGATGATGACATCGTCACGCGCCAACAATCATCCTCGTCGTATTGCCCGCTCTTTTCGTGGCCGGACGCGCCTCCGACAAGCTTCCCACGCGAACACGCGGTCTCCTTCTCGTTCCTCTGATCTTTTGGAGGCTTTTTCAGGTCCCCCCTCTGGCAATGGAACTTTCCGTAATCGATCGTGGTCTCCGCCGCCTCAGGAAGCGAGTCGAAGATCACCTTGCCACCGTCGCCCACGAATCTTATGTTCTCCTTAGAGGAGTCCGGTCCTAGGAGGACCCGGCCGCCGTCGCCGGTGTACTCGATGTCGCCCACGTTGTGATTCACGCTCAGGCGACAGCCGTCGCCGACGATGTGAACGCTGCCCGAGTTCTTCGTCAGGATGACACGACAACCATCGCCCGTAATCTCCAGCACTCGGTGATTCGAGTCCAGTCGGACCACCAGACCGTCACCATAGAACCGTTTCACGCTATCGTCCACAGCACCGTTCTCGCCGTCCTCCGCAGGATGCTTGCACCATCTCATAAAGTTCCCGCGATTCTTTCTGCTCAGCTCCTTCCTACCCGACTGCTCCTTGGCGCGAGAGATCGTCATTGGAAGCTCTCTTTTCACAACATAGGGGTTCACACGGCTTGGGATCTCTCCGTCGCGATAAACGCGATGAATATCCGTTATCGCGAATTATTGTTGCGCCAACACTGATGATGTTTTTTGTCAGATCCGACAATGCTTCGTTTTTCTTCTATCTTCTTCTTTCCGGAGGAAGCTCTCAATTGCCTCCTTGTTGTTTCTAATCCTTCATGAACAATATATGTACCACAGTAGAAACGAAGGGAAGGTGAGCTCGAAAAGCAGAATCCTCGCGGAACGATGGAGTACGACACACACGAGAAAGAGAATGAGAGGTGTTTACGTTATGGAGAACGGCGTGACACGGCATGTTGCCAATGTGATGACCGCGTACAAATAACGAATCTCTTGTGGTGGTGGTGGTGGTGGTGGTGGTGGTGGTGGTGGTGGTGGTGGTGTGGTTGCGAGGCAGCGGGTTCTTTACCGAGCAATCGGCCGCTCTTGCTTCTATTATCATTCGGGGGGACTTCCCGAGACCTTCCGGAGCGACAACACGCGTTCGACATTCACGGTAAAGTGCCTCTTCGCCAGAGTCGTAGCTAAGCATCGCGGCGCCTGATGGAAAACGTCTTCTGCAATGAGAAATTTAGTTGTGACGTGTAATCGTAGTGTTCATCCGCACGTTTAACCTCCAGATGTTAATCTCTCAATTCTGTGAAATTAACTAACAACTTTGTAAAGAGTCTCTGTTTCAATTCCATCTCGACTAGTAGAATCTCTACTATATTTTTGTTGGTTTTGACATTTTTTTCTTTTCTTAAGAGCAAAGTAATTTTACGGAAAGTCTGAAAACATAAATTATATTATTCTGATGAACAAAAAACGAAGCTTCTGATGCTTCTGACAAAAAACAGGCTTCTAAGAGCACGGATCTTATAGTGTTATAACACAAATATATATATATATTTACGAAAAAACTCAAGTTGGATTTAATATAATAGTTCACAAAAATTTAAGTTAGATCTAATATAATAATCTAGATATTTTGGACTCTTTTCAGTAATCAAAGTAATTTTGTTTCTTTTTGTAAATCTCAACAATTTAAGCTCGGTACAAAAGAAATAATTTTGCAGAGCAAAGTAATTCTGTTTCTTTCTGTAACCACCAACAATTTAAACTCGGAACAGAGGAAGGAATGTAGACTTAAACTCGATACGAACTTTGTCTCGCGAGGTTTTTTAAGTAACTCCGTTCCTGGCACGTATGCCACTCTCACTGTCGACTTCTCGCAAATCGGCGTTTCGCGCGTGAAATACTACGTCATCTAGTCTGGGTGGGAGTCACTTAATGAATCAACGTAGTAGCTCGGCGTGAGAACATCTACGCGCGTACGAATAATCTACGAGATATCAGGCCATAAACGTATGATACGCGATAGAGGGGAATTACCTCGGCGTGATATGTAAGCCTCGGCGTAATCGTGACTTCATATCTGCATAACACGTACTTGCTCTTTATCTTAATATGAATGTGTTGGAAGAAAAGAGAGACGATAAATTGATAACAGACTGCCGTCGTTGGCTATAAGAAAAAATTATTGATCTGTTATTTTTTTAATAGATAATAGAGTTAATTTGGAGCGCGAAATTTACAAGATGTAACTTAACAATTATTCATTGAGAAGTCACATTTGTCGAATAGTTAGCGAGTTTACCCTTAATTTGCCGCAGATTCGGAGAATGTGTCTAGATGTTACATTTCGGGGTCCATTCGAGGTCCATTCGAAACGACTTCCTTCATTGCGAAGATGGAACGAGTACACCATCAGACTAATCCAATATAGGCATGATTGGAACGCCCTATTCGATTCCGAAACGAAATAGACTCGGACATGCAAGCTAATTGCTCCCGTTTATGTCGTTGATCGTGCGGGCACTGTTTCCAGACGAACTGGGCGATCGTGCGAAGGGTCTCGTTATTCCAAAAACTAATCATATATATAGAATTATTACGTCTGATCCATACAGTTTCTTAGAATAGGATACTATTCTAAGATACCTATTCTTTACTGAATATTCTATACTTTATTGAATTTCGTCGAAATATTCAGTTGATGCGCAAAATATTTGTTATTTTTCTATTAAATCCTTGCACGAAGTTTAGGCATTAAAATGAAAATAGAAAGTTCTCATTAAATGTGTAAAAATATGTACCGAGTCGATGTGGTCTATTTTGTTTGTAAAAATTATTGATCCTTCGGAATTAGACAATTTCGTTTTCTATTTTATTTGACAGGCACGACAAACTTTTTGCACGTAATAATATTTAACTCTATGTCACATAATTACATCCAATAGGTAGTTTTATCTTTCTCGTTCATTTCTTTCTTTGGGGTGTTTCAGTGAAAGATGGTAAGATATCGGAATGAATGATTCACTGAAGACAGTCGCGATGGAGACGTATTCCGAAGAGAATTGCCTGAAAGTGTCTTCGCCGATACAGAACGTAGCGCGGCAAGACTCTGGCGTACCGGAAGATCTCGCTTCGCCTGTTAACGATGAGACACGACCACTTAACGAGGAGGATCCGGACCTCACGATGAATAGCGAATGCAACATCACGGTGATCCACATCTCCGAATCGCAGAGTGGCAAGACTAGCGAAAAGTCGCTAAGTGAAAATAAAGACAGTAAGGATGGCAGTGACAGCGGAGTCGAGGGCTGCGCGACGGAAGTTCCGAGAGTAAGTTTCAATGATATATGAAAAAGATTATTTATATGGAGAAAATTCTCGTGTACGAACGACCACGTACTGTCTTACTTTAAATACTCGAATGGCCGCATTTGTCAGATAATATCTAATATTTATTTTAGTTTAAACAACCGCATTTGCTCAGCTCATTTTCTCTTTATTTTCTATATTTTTATATAGATATTTTCTCTATGCACTGAAATATCTAATAATTGGGTACTAATAGTGCATATACAGGATGTCTTATCTTAACTTTCACACCGAAATATCTCGAAATATACAAAAAATACGAAAAAATGTTTCAAACAAAAGTTATATGATTCGATGGAGGACATAAGAAGATACCATTGGTTTAATTTTGGGTGGCGCCGCTAAGGTCGAGGTCAACTTTACTTTTTTAAATAAGAATATATATTTTTATTACGGAATTTTATTCTACGTAAAGAAACAAACAACTTTTGTTTAAAAACATTTTTTATATGAACTCTATTTTCTAAGATATTTACGGAAATATCTACAAAATTATTGGTTTTAATAATTTTTATTCGAATTCTATCAACTTTACCGAAAAACAGTAAGAGATAAAAATCGTTTATTTTCTTCTCATACAGCTCTGAGAATTTAAAAAAAATTTTTTAATTAACTTTTTAGTACTGAATTTTCTTGCATTTTTTTGAAGTATTAAAAAGTTTTTAAAAAATTCTGAAAAAATCCTCACAGCTCTATGAGAAGAAAATAGATGATTTTTATTCCTTGCTATTTTTCGATAGAATTTGAGTAAAACATTATTGAAATCAATAATTTGTAGATATTTCCATAAATATCTTATAAAATAGAGTTCGTATAAAAAATGTTTTCAAACAAAAGTTGTTTGTTTCTTTACGTAGAATAAAATTCCGTAATAAAAAAAATATATGTTCCTATTTAAAAAAGCAAGGTGACCTCGACCTGATCTTGGCGGCGCCATCCAAGGTCAAACCTATGATACTTTTTTATGTCTTCCATCGAACCATATAACTTTTGTTTGAAACATTTTTCCGTATTTTTTGTACATTTCGAGATATTTTGGTGTGAAAGTTAAAATGGGACACACTGTATATACAGGGTGTAAAAAAATTAGATCGACAAACTTTGAGGGAAAATAGAGAACATAAAAACAAACATATTTTGTTCGTAATGTTTTTCTCTATGACGCTTCGTAGAGAAAAACATTACTTTAATATTACAGGGTACAAAATAGGAATTTTATGATTTCAATAAAAAACAAATATATAAGTAGAAAAATTACATTTATTTCAATTACACATATATATTTTAATATTTAAAAAATGAATAAAAGAACGGAACAAAAATGCGCAATTGATTAGCTCAATTTATAATAAATGTTCAAATATTCCTTCATTTGGTTTAACACAAAGATGACATCGTCGAAATTCGGGTTAACGATTCTGTTTCTGTTTCAATGCCTCATCGATAAGAGTTGTGAAAGTAAATATAAAATATCCTTATGAAGTACGCTTCATTAATAAACAGTATTGAGGGGAAATAGAAGATTTCAACATAAACATTTTTTGTTAATATTTCTCTCTACGATATTTCGTTTCGGTCTTAGTCCACGTAGTATGTATTCAAACGCTCAATGGAGCAAAAGTCTTCAATTATATCTTAATAAATTTGATGTGATTTGTTTATCATTAAGGAGCGATATTCTTGGATTGAATTGAGTGACATGCATCTTATTTATGGAGCAACTAATTGCAATGGACGGGCAGCACAAAGAATATATCAACGACGATATCCTCGTCGTCGCATTCCACATCACTCCATTTTCGAATCCATTCATCGACATTTGCGAGAGAATGGTTCTTTTAGAAGATCGAATGGACAAGGACAACGACGTTCAGTGAGAACTCTGCGATTTGAAGAGCAAGTTTTGGCAGAAATAAAAAACAATGCTTCCACTAGTATACGTGCAATTACATTTAACATTGGAACAAGTAACATGAATATATGGAATGTTCTTTATGAACAATTATTACATCCATTTCATCGGCAACGTGTACAAAGTTTAAAACTTGAAAACTATCCACGACATTTAAAATTTGCGCGATGGTATTTGCAGCAGTGTGAAACACACCCCAAATTTTCTTCTTTAATACTGTTTACTGACGAAGCAAGTTTTATAAGGACAGGTATATTTACACACAATTCTCACGTTTGGAGTGAGGATAATACTCATGCTACATTTATTCGATCACATCAAGAAGGATTTACGGTTAATGTATGGGCAGGTATTACCAATAACTTCCTTATCGGGTCGTACATTTTACCTTTACGATTGAATGGCAATATTTATCGTATTTTTTTCGAGGAAGTTTTGTCAGGACTCATGAAAGAAGGCAAATGTAGTTCCAACACGATGGAGTATCTGCCCATTTTAATGCTACTGTGCGCAATTACTTGGACCAAAGATTTAATGAGCGCTGGATAGGCCAAAGAGGTCCTATCGCATGGCCTCCTCTGTCACCAGATTTATCTTCGCTTGACTTTTTTTATGGGAACATATAAAAACTCATTTATGAGACACCTATTGAAACAGAAGCAGAATTGGTAGCCCGAATTACTGCTGCAGCATATCAGGTTCAGAATATTCCTGCAGTCTTCGAGCGTGTGAGACAATTAATGTTTCGACGATGTCATCTTTGTATTGAAGCAAATGAAGGAATTTTTGAACATTTATTATAAATTGAGCTAATCAATTGCGCATTTTTGTTCCGTTCTTTTGTTTATTGTTTTTTGAAGATTAAAATATATATGTGTAATTGAAATAAATTTAATTTTTTCACTTATATGTTTGTTTTTTATTAAAATCATAAAATTTCTATTTTGTACCCTGTAATATTAAAACGAATCGTTGTAGAGAAAAACATTATTAACAAAATATGTTTGTATGTCCTCTATTTCCCCTCAAAGTTTGTCGGTCTAATTTTTTTACACCCTGTATGTATTTACTTATACCAATGTAAAATATTTTTCAAAAAAGAAATACATTTTCTTAAAACTTTAAGAAAACCTTAGTTTTTTCATGAAAATAATTATTTATTCTACTTAACTATTTATTATACTTAAATAACAATTTAGATTTAAATAAATATGTTTTTATAACATCCAGCCAAATAAATATTTACTAATTTTTTTTCAGTGTAGATATCCTATATTCTATATTTCCTTTTCTACTCAAGTAAGAAATTAGAAATTGTGAATTAAAGTGAAATTAACTCTGTTGTTAATTTTTCTGAATCTCAAATTCTGCCATTAATCCCTTAGAATTTGCAATAATACATAAAATAAGATATCCTGGATAGGTGGCTCATATACCTTTGACATTACACATGAATAGTTCCTGCAAATAGCTTTTTATGCCGTACTCACAGGTACGTAGGAATAGTGCCGACTACGGGAGCAGTTGCGGTGGACTGGACGAGGCCTCTTGTGACTCCAGCCTCGTCAGTTGCTGTTCCGTGTACGAGGACCCCTGCGCCACGCTGCCAGATGATGTTCGCCTGGGTGCTACTGGTGGCGAGGGTACCAGTGAAGGTGGCAGCGAGAGCTCGTCCATCGCTGGCAGCGTATCCGTGCGAACGAGTCGCGTGAACGTGAAAAGGGCTGCGACGATTTCCAGCGCGGCGAAGAAGAAAACAGCCGGTACCGAGTCCCAAAAGGCCATTCGCACGAAACCAACCACGACGACATCGAGCACGAGCGTGAGCGTGATGACGCCGCGATCGAAGTCACGGACAGCCACGCCGAGGAACATATTGACCAAGACACAAAGCGCGAGCAGAGAGAGAGGAGAACGGGACCGGGCACGATCGAGAGAGAAATCGAGCGCCAGGGAATCGAGCTCCTCTTTGATCACGGAAGTCAAGACTCCGGCTGGTGGCCGCGCTATGCCAGTATACAGCTGCCGTTCCAGCACGGGCACCAGCTCCTCCAATCCGGCGTCCACCTCTACCTCGTCCTTTACGAGGACGAGGACGAGAGCGTTGCCCGACTCGTTGCCGTCCGTGCTGACCACGGAGATCAACAAGGATCTCGCCCAACGCGGCGCTGTGAGCGTGAGAGGAGTTATCAAGAATGACTCGAGATCCAGAGCCGGGTCCAGCACGCGAGGATCACGCACGCCAGTTTCAACGCCGTCCGAGGATACGAGATCGAAGATACCATCCTTGTCGACTCCCCGCGTCCTTTATACTGCGCGTGCCGACGCGAAGAACTCTCGCACGGATAAGGCGGCCGTCGGGAACGGCGGGCTAGATAACAAGGCGTTGGACACGTATGCAACATTACCGCGCAGAAACAGAAATAAACTCGTGATCTCGAAGAACCCTAGCGAAAAGATAGACAACAACAATAAGGTAACAACGATAAGCAGCTCTGGTAGTCGAGATGCCAGTCTCAACAGAGCCATCGAGAAGAGAATTGCCGGCGCGAAGGAGTCTTCCGTCGGTCACAAGAGCTTGCCCCCGTATCCCAGACACAGGACGGCCGAGAGGACCCGTATTTATCACGAGACTAGCGCGCAGACCGGTTTGACCGGGCAGGACATCGAAAACGCGTTGTCCGGACTGCCGAGTGCGGTGGCTGGACCCGAAGTCATCGAAAGGCTAAACAATAGTTGCCAGACGGAGGATGCGTGGGACGATATGCAAGATAACTTAAAACGCTTGAACGAAGAGAACGATACACGGAAGGAAGAGAACGAGAAACTGAAGCTCGAGCTGGTCGAGGTAAATCGCCTGTTGGAGGAGGAACGAGCTGACCATGCGTTCGCGCGGCAGGAGCTCGACAGAAATGCGCAGCGAGTTCTGGCTATGTTGGGCACACCGCAATCGGAACACGCAGGTAAGCGAGTTCGACAGCATTTCGCGTTTCGAGTGTAAGACGCGCGAGCGATGCATTTATTATTGAAATTACTAGCACATCAAATTTCTTAGATTTAACATGTTATTATGAAGGATGTATTGCCTATTTCTCAAAAATAATGAAAGAATTTTAAAAGAATTAGAAATTAATATACAGAGTGAGCTAAAAGTCTGGATACACCAAAATATGTCATAAACGATACATTTTAGAAAAAAATGTTTCGAATAAAAGTTGCGACTTAAAAAGTCGCATTCAACAAAAGTAGTTCTTTGACCTAGGATCGCGTCGCCAAGGTCAGGACAAGGTCAACTTTGCTTTTTTAAACAGAAACATGTATTTTTTATTACAGCATTTTATTCAATGTAGAGACAAATAACTTTTGCTTGAAAAAATTTTTTATACGACCTCTATTTTCTAAGATATTTACGTAAATATCTACAAAATTATTGGTTTGAATAATTTTTTACTTGAATTCTATCAATTTTACCGAAAAATATCAAGAGATAAAAATTGCTTATTTTGTTTTCATAGAGCTGTGAGAATTTTTTCAGAATTTTATATTAACTTTTTAGTACTGCATTTTCTTGAAGTACTAAAAAGTTAACACAAAATTCTGAAAAAATTCTTAGAGCTCTATGAAAACAAAATAAGCAATTTTTATCTCTTGATATTTTTCGATAAAGTTGATAGAATTCAAGTAAAAAATTATTCAAACCAATAATTTTGTAGATATTTACGTAAATATCTTAGGAAATAGAGGTATGAAAAATTTTTTTCAAGCAAAAGTTTGCTTTTTTACGTAGAATAAAATTAATAAAAAATATGTGTTTCTATTTAAAAAAACAAAGTTGACCTTGTTCTGACTTTGGCGACGCCATCCTATGTCAAATAACTACTATCGTTGAATGCGTTTTTTTAAACCTTACAACTTTTGTCTGAAACATTTTTTTCTAAAATGTATCGTTTATGACATATTTTGGTGTATCCAGACTTTTGGCCCACCCTGTATATTACATTTAAAACTGACTACAGACAATTTGATATTGATTCAGAGTCTAGATCATTATTCCAGTTTGAAGTGTAAATCCAACAAATTGACATGTTATGAAGGGTATATTGCTCATATCTCAAAAATAATAAAAGAATTTTGAAAAAAAAATTATAAATTAATATATATTGCATCTAAAAATAATCGCGAACAATTTAATATTGATTTCGAGTCTGGATCATTATTCCAATCTGAAGTGTACATTGCTTATAACAATATAATATATAACAACATCAATAACAGTTTAACCCTTTACATGGCAGGCAAAATTTCACTATGTGTGCCATAAGTGGCAAGACAAAAAAGTGATCGGTTTTTAAATATCTAGAGTATCTCTTGTTCAGGTCGCTGAATATGAATATAAGGTCAAAATTTAATATGGCGAAAAGCATTTTGAAACAAGTTCACGCGTCGTATGTTACTGAGCCTCGCGCAGCTTCCCATGCTTTGAAATTTACCATACAAAAAAACACTCTGAACATGAATAAAATATTCGTCTTTTTTCTTTTTAATATAAATAAACAAATGTAATAAAAGTAAATTAAAAATTTTTTTAAATTAGGACCATATTTTCATATTTAGCAACCTGAGAAACCCCTAGATACTGAGTTTCATAACAATTACATAATATTTTGATATTTTGGTCGCCATATTGAGTCCGCCATTTTAAATATCTCAAATTTTACATCAAATTCGTAATCAGCGATCTCAAAAACTCCCAGATATCAGTGGTAATCAATATTGTATGACATTAATTTATTAATGTAATTTATTTGTTAAAATATCAATATTGTATGATATTTTTTACGCTGGACGCCATATAACGTCGCTGCCAAATTGGGCCAAATAAGCGTTGGACGCCATATGGCGTCCTTGCCACGTAAGGGGTTAATGATGCATTATCTCATCTCTTGTTAATAATGCGTTATTAATACGTCATTTTATACGTCATCCTACTATTTAGGAGTATTTTAAATCGTGTCACTATGAAATATATGTTACTATTTTTAATTAAACCAAAAATAATTAAAGAACAATGACAAAAATTTCAATTTTTGTATACATTGTACACATACACCTTAAATATTCAAATTGATGTATGCCTAGTTTCATATTGTGATTCAAAAATAAAAGTTAAAAAGAAAAGTCAGAAATAATGTAAAGTAAATAAACTATAAGAATGTTAAAATATGTCGTTATTTAACTATATCATATATATATATATATACATTTTTATAAGGAAAATGGAAATATTAACGTATTTCTAATTTTCAGTTACTTTTGCAAAAATTATACAAGCAATATATCCTTAATATTGATTGACAAGTTGGTGCATTCTTTCTCGATTTGTTTTCGGCGTTTCGTGAACATTTCAGTTCACTCCATCCATTTAGTTCACTCATAGAGAGAAGAGCAACTTAATACTATTGTTTTTTCCTTTGATGGAAAAAAATCTCAGTTTATTTGACAAAATGGAGCTCGAAAAACGGAAACTTGGTAACGATATCTACGATACCTTCCGTATACGATACCCGTTATCGCGACCGGAAACATTTACCTACATTAAAATCTCGCTAAGATAGCGCAGAACAACTAACTAAATAGAAATCTCTTACAGAAATCTTTGTATTCCTTTACAACAGAATTTTTATCTGGACTTTAGACAACAGAAAATCAGTTATATAAGTTTTCCTTCTTTGTAATGAAGTGAACTTCCTTATAATGAAGGAATATTCATGAAATATCAGAAACGAATTGATAAGAAACAAAACTCCAATCCAAAATATTATTTCACATCATGAAATATCAGTTTAGCACGTAGTTTATTGACATCTATTTTCAGATGGCAGCGACAGTTTTCTCGAGCTGGAGTGTCATATACAATCCTCGGGACAAGTGGTTGCTAATCAACAAATCGAAATAGCTGATTTACAATCACTCTGCCGCATGTTAAACAGGGTAAGAATATGCGATTAAAATATAAGAATTACCGGTGTATAGAAATGACATTTTTTAACGACACTTTTATTCAAGGACTTGGACAAAAGCCTAGCCGCGCAGAAGGCTTTGCTACAACAGCAGCAAGAATTGGAGGCCGAGTCTGCGGAAATGCAAGATTTCCTTCAAGAAGAGAAGGCGACGTTGGCGGATGCGCTTAAAGACGCCGAATTAGAGGTACGTTTCTTCTAAGAGTTTTTTCAAAAGTACAATTTTTTATCGTCCATCTCAAACTCGCCTGTTTCCCACAGCTCAAGAAGAAAGAAGCGACTTTGGTACAACGAGAAGCAGAATTGGAAAGGCAAACGGAGGAGTGTAAACATTTAGTACGAATTAGCGAACAGAGAAGGTATGTATTTGGTGAACACTGTTCTGAAGTAGCTAAAGAAAATCTTCACAATTGCTTACTTTTATTTTGCTTGTAGACAAGAAAATTTATCGATGAGTATGAAATTGAACGCCGTCGAACGAAGAAGCCGAGAACTTTTGCTCACTCAAGGCGCTGCTATGTCCGGCGCGGCTGTCGCCCTTTCTGGACTTGGTACCAGATTAGAGGGATTAGTAGATCAATTAATTGCTTCTTATAATATTTCAGTAAAAGATCTTGAGGTAAATGAATTGAAAACATTATCCTCGTGTGCAAAATACTTTGCAATATCATTGGTGATATCTTATTATTAGAATAAATAACTATCTCAAGCAAAAACCATTAACTGTTGATATATAGCTAAAAATAAATAGAAGACACGGAGACAATGATAGTAGATGAATGAATAGTTTTAATACATTGATATATAATTATTTCCTTTCACGCAATATGTTCTCAATAATTATAAAAGACAAATGTACTCTTGTACGTTTTTTTCTGAGACCGTTATCAAAATAAGAAAATATCAAAATTTTTTCTTCAAAGGACGTCATATATCATAATGAAGCATACAGCAGAAGTAACAGTAGCATGGAATCTAGTCCTGTTAGCTCTAAGCAAAGTTTAAAGGAATGCACGCCAAGTCCCAAGAGTGGATCCTTCGTTTCCGCGGTGATTGGCGCAATTCGAAACGCTGCGACGCATCCTTTTGCGACTCGGAATATCGACAAGAAGTCCAATCTAGATTCGTCCAAGCAGATTTATAAAGGTAATAACGGAATACACTACAAAGGAGATTGTAACTTAGTTGTGGCAATAAACGGATTACACGCAGATGTTTTTAAACATACCTTTTGCTTGAAATTTTACGTAGAATTAAGCATGGAATCGTCATCCGACTTGTTGGACTTTGAAACTGAACCTTGTCTAATGATGGAAAGCGTCTTAGAAGACGTGTCCTTACCCGACACGTATTCGCACAATATGGTGTCGAGCAGCGATTCTCTACGTAGAGCGTTGAGCTTTCCTGAAACGGTGGACGAACATAACATGAGGAAGTCGAAAATCAGCGACGAGTGCACCAGTCTCACGAATCTCACTCAGGCAATCCTGCATCGTCGTAAAGCAAGTATACCTCGCGTCGAATCGAATTCACGATATTGGGAAAGGGTCGATTGATAAATATCGCATTATTCGCATTATTTGCAGGTGGAAGACGAGGGTGACGACGACTGCGATTCCGTGAGCGGGTCCGACACCGGGACCAACGATGGTCCTGTGCCTATGACGGATTATTGTCCACCCGTGGGTCTCGTCGATCAAGTGATTGACGTGGATAATCTTGTTACGAAGCTCTTGAAAGTACTGCGAATCATACAGCTAGATAACGATACGTGTATACAGGAATTAAAAGAAGAGAGGTAAGTTTGTACATGAATATAATTACTGTCACACGAGGTTTACGAAAAAACTTGCCGTGACCAAATTTCTTATTTTGCATGATAAATTTGTCATATTCAGAAAATATGTTTGTACTTTGTTAAAAATTTATGTTTAATTCAATCAAAAACATTACTAATGTTTTAGATTTAGTTTCCGGGTTTGAGCCGCGTGGATTTATCTTCGTTTCTGATGTTTCGCGAACATTTCAGTCCGCTTCATCAGGGACTGAAATGTTCGCGAAACGTTGGAATCAAACGAAGATGAATCCACGCGGCTCAAATCCGGAAGCTAAATCTAACATGGACACCGCGAAAACCTACAAAAATCATTACTAGTGTTATTAGTTTCTGAAAGATAATGAATATAGCATTTTTTTACACCTATATATGTAATATTGGTGCTTCTAAAAATGTTAATATAAGATGTAAGTACTAGTGCTCAAACTAATCCTGGATATATTTATATTGTTCATATTGTTTTGGTTGTTAAATATGAATATTTAAAGTAAAAGAGTACTTAATCTTCTGAGTACTCTTATTTTGATCTTTAAATACAAATATTTAAACTAATAGTGAAATATTAATGGCACATAAGGAGCTAGCACGGATGTCTTAGTGCTATTAAATACTAATATAATTTTAATATTAACATGATTGTGGGAGGATAAAAATGTCCAGTATGTCAAACGCACGTATCGAAATTTTCTCTTCGACTACCGTACGCGGAGAATCAACCTTCCATACTTAGACCGATCCTTGAGTCCCAAATTTAAATATATATTTTCATTAAAATCCCAAACCCCCATTAACCGAAGACTCAAATAGATTCCTTTTTTTATATATATGTTGCGAAAAAACTGCCTCCGCCAGAACTCGAACCTGGAACCTCCCCACTTTCCGGGCGGGACGCCTTTCCATTCGGTCACCGAGGCTTCGACAGTAATCTCGCAACACAATATTTATAAATTCTCTAAGATGTAAGGTGAGAGAGAACGAAAGAGTCGATCTCGTAAGAGATGTTATTGTACGAGAGAGAGGTAGCATATTCTTCCTGCCGATGCTTTTAAGATAAACCGAAATAATAGAACGCTCCTTTATAGAGTTAACTAATAGTGAAATATTAATGGCACATAAGGAGCTAGCACGGATGTCTTAGTGCTATTAAATACTAATATAATTTTAATATTAATATGATTGTGGGAGGATAAAAATGTCCAGTATGTCAAACGCCCGTATCGAAATTTTCTCTTTGACTATCTAGCTCCTTATGTGCCATTAATATTTCACTATTAGTTAACTCTATAAAGGAGCGTTCTATTATTTCGGTTTATCTTAAAAGCATCGGCAGGAAAAATATGCTATCTCTCTCTCGTACAATAACATCTCTTACGAGATCGACTCTTTCGTTCTCTCTCACCTTACATCTTAGAGAATTTATAAACATTGTGTTGCGAGATTACTGTCGAAGCCTCGGTGACCGAATGGAAAGGCGTCCCGCCCGCAAAGTGGGGAGGTTCCAGGTTCGAGTCCTGGCGGAGGCAGTTTTTTCGCAACATATATAAAAAAAGGAATCTATTTGAGTCTTCGGTTAATGGGGGTTTGGAATTTTAATTAAAATATATATTTAAATTTGGGACTCAAGGATCGGTCTAAGTATGGAAGGTTGATTCTCCGCGTACGGTAGTCGAAGAGAAAATTTCGATACGTGCGTTTGACATACTGGACATTTTTATCCTCCCACAATCATATTAATATTAAAATTATATTAGTATTTAATAGCACTAAGACATCCGTGCTAACTCCTTATGTGCCATTAATATTTCACTATTAGTTAACTCTATAAAGGAGCGTTCAAATATTTAAACGTTTAACATAGAATACATGTATATATCTTTTATGTGTGTGTGTATATGTGTGTCTATTTTAAACATTTAAATATTTGTATTTAAAGATATACATACATACATACACACACACACACACATTCTACGTTGAAATATTCGTCTTTAAAAACCAAAAAAATAAAAATGTCGAAGATAAGGTATGGTCCGGGAATACTTTTTATCTCACTACATTTACATAACATGTGACAAAGTGTTAAGTAAATATCGCTGTATAAGTGTCGGTCCACAACCTTGCTTTAAGACGTAAGTCGTAAGAAACTGACCAATTATAGGTCTACTTATTTTTCTAAAAATCGACCATGGTTGGTTAATTTCTTACAGCTTATGTCTTAAAGTAAAGTTGTGGACAAGGGCTAAACAGAGACCGACTTCTAATTAATTGTAACGTCAATCGTTGACAGGTCCAATTTGGAGTCGAAGTTAGAAACGACTGTGACGGAATTGAGTGAGCTACGTAAGATTATTGATAGTCTTCATCAGTCATCGGAGGAAGTGTTGAACAACGCGTCGGATCGACAACGTAGCGTCGTCGAGAATTGTCGGATTCTGATGAAAGAGGTAATAGCCGGCGATGTCGCCGATACATTTATATAAAGTGTTGCTTCCACTCTACTGCCATATTTTTAAAAAATTACTGAATTTCTGGAGAAAAAGATATCAAATGGAATAATTCCTCTATAGGCGGGTAAGAAGGAATTAAAGTTTGACGAAGCCGTAGTTGCTATTAATAGCAGTCCTGGCGAAGTAGACTGTGAAGATCTCAATGCGAACGATGCAGCCCACTTACTCTCTTAATACCTTATTAATATTATATATTACTTTCCTATGTACTATAAACAATTTTGACTTTAGAAAATGGTTATGTCAATTTCGATAGTCTGTATTATATTGCATTACCCAGTAGACAAAAAACATTCAATCAACATCTTGTAATGTAATGTTGGTTTTATTTAACATTTTTTCACTTAATATTTTAAAAACATTTTGAAGATTACTGGATAATATGATTGAAATTTGTAAATTGTACATTTTCTTCCAAAAATTGTAAAAATGTTTTAGGAATATCAAAGTATCGAAATTATATTCGTAGTGATGTTGATATAGCGTTAAAAAAAAATTATATTTTAAGAAACGTTATACGCCACTAAATATCATCGAATTAACGTTCTATCAATGATTTTTGCTCACTGGGTAAGCATTTAACGAGTGATTGTCTACTGTTAGTCATGGAAATTTCGCTGAGATATTTCATATTGTCGCTTTAAAATCTTTTTCCAAATATTTCGAATGCTCTTGTTTCAGTTTTAATCGAATACATTTTTCACACATAATAACACTCATAGTTATAATAATTATGCCGTTTATTTCAGATTAAGATGCGTGTACATAGCACTGCATGTCAAAATTAAAATATAGTCTGATCACAGATTAAAATGGGTGCACGCTCGCGTCGTTGTTTTTAATAAGATAATTGTACATTTAAATGACTGTTTAAAAATAAGTTCTGGTTGAAATTACACTGAACTAATTATGTAGCATAGAAAGAGACGTCGGAGAGTACGTTTCTAATTTTATTGATTTTGCATTTTATATCCCTATCGACTGTAATATTGATCATAGTATATTTTTAATGTATTTAAAACAGCTCCATGAAATTGATACTTCCATCAAACTGATATAGACTCATGAGTAAATTATCAGCATCGAGTTTACTTACTTTTCTCACGTCACGACGAACAGGGTATCCTACTTTTATAATAATAATAATATTAGCATTTAATAGAGAATTTTATGGGCGCAAGATACCATCATTCAAAATGAAATCATTGTAAGAAATCGGAATCGAATATCTTTCAGCGAATTTTTGTTCGATCATGTAATAATTCCGAATTAACATAATTGTTGTGTGGAAAATTCAAATAAAGATAGCACATAACGAAGTATTTTGTAATAAATAGTAAATATACAAATAAACATACACTTGCAAAATGCTTCTCAATAGACAAAGACTAGAGAATAAAAAACTATTCTCTTATATATAGACTTTCTTCTCTCATTATTTAAAGATGTATATATATTAACGTTTGTAGGAACTGTATTTGTTTTATGACAATACGTTTCCAAAGATCTTTTACTATAGGTTGCTCAGTGAGTTGACATATATATATTGTAAACGTTTAAACGAGGTTTTCCATCGAAGCGCAGGATGATTGTAGAGAGACGCGGAGTATATAATATAGTTCTAAGCATTTCCTTGTCGGAAACATTGTGATGATATACATCAAAAAAAAAAAAAAAAAAAAAAAAAAAAAAAAAAAAAAAAAAAAAAAAAAAAAAAAAAAAAAAAAAAAAAAAAAAAAAAAAAAAAAAAAAAAAAAAAAAAAAAAAAAAAAAAAAAAAAAAAAAAAAAAAAAAAAAAAAAAAAAAAAAAAAAAAAAAAAAAAAAAAAAAAAAAAAAAAAAAAAAAAAAAAAAAAAAAAAAAAAAAAAAAAAAAAAAAAAAAAAAAAAAAAAAAAAAAAAAAAAAAAAAAAAAAAAAAAAAAAAAAAAAAAAAAAAAAAAAAAAAAAAAAAAAAAAAAAAAAAAAAAAAAAAAAAAAAAAAAAAAAAAAAAAAAAAAAAAAAAAAAAAAAAAAAAAAAAAAAAAAAAAAAAAAAAAAAAAAAAAAAAAAAAAAAAAAAAAAAAAAAAAAAAAAAAAAAAAAAAAAAAAAAAAAAAAAAAAAAAAAAAAAAAAAAAAAAAAAAAAAAAAAAAAAAAAAGAGAAAAGAGAAAGAAACACACATGTATTTTAATGTTTAATCAAATAAATTTTCATATCGATACAAACACGTTGTAATTTATCATTATAGATTGTATACATAATTCTATACATAATTGAAGCGGTATTATATAGGTGGACATGCGGAAGCTACTACGATTGTCAATGCGGAAACCACCGATACATCCATACGTTTACACAAGAATGAATACGGATGAATATAATAATCGCGTTATAATAATACCACGATGCGCGCCGTTACACCAAAATAAAAATATAACGACGAAATCGAACGTTCGCGCTCGAATATCGCATCCAACGTGTCACCTCGGTTTACGGCGTATAAATACATTCGTCGTTCTCGTGGCTTTCCATATCTTGAAAATCGTCTGAAACTGCGGGGAAAAGGAGTTCACCAGAATAGACTAAGAGTGATCATTGATCTGAAAATTTCGCAATTAGTCCATCCATTTGTTCACGCTAGACAACGTATACAATTACATGTGGCTTGACGTTAAGTGGAGATCGTCGATCATATGCGTTATATTATACGAGTACTCGTTCACCATTCCTGTAGATGCAGATATCTCATCCCTATAAATGTACAATTTCTTTTTAAATCTCTTCCGAGCAATGACAATCCAACACAATGGCGCTCCATACACATACAGAAAAATACAGAAAAATACACACTGCATTCAAGTAAATGTTACTTGTTTCGAGTATATATTTCATAAGTTATACATTCGCAAATTTATCATAAGGTTATTTCAGAAATTTATACCGAGTTTATTCAAAATACATTTTGAACCACACTAAATTCTTTATTTCAATTAAGAATATTAAATTAAAACAAAAATTCGGTTGTTTACAACATAGAGTTAAATCAACTTTTTCAATGAAGTTGAATAATATTCTTGTAAAGGGAATAAATTTTTCTTTTGAGTACATTATAATGAGCTTTTCTCACATTTGTGATAAGTATATTTAAAGACTATTATCAAGAAAATATTCTACGTTGATGAAAACCATAAAATATTAGGTGCTTGCAAAAGTTTGTAAGGTTACAAATGATAGATGATTGTAGCAGCAACTAATTGTTTTCCTTTAAATTGCATTTTAGTTTTTAAATATTGACGATACACGATGAGAATTGATAGCTGATAATTCACAATTCCGAATAAAACGTTTAACGAGATTGAAGATAGAATCAGGCAAAGTTCACCTTCACCAGTACATGCTTTATCACTAATCGAAATGGAACTGCTGCAACAACTAAAAGACTGATTTGTGAAACCTGAAGAAATATAATATGGAGAAAATATTGTGTTCGTTGCTATCTGTGAGAAGTGGTTTAAAAAGTTTAGAAATGATAATTACAATGTCAACAATAAGCCATATTCTGGTCATCCAAACGAGATTCGGAAGCATTGATCAACGAAAATATTAAAAGGACTTGCAAAGCAGTTTGGAGTTGGTAAATTAACAGTATCCCGCCATTTGAAAGTAATGGGAAAGATCCAAAAAAAAAGGAAGATTACTTCTTCATGAACTTACTATCTGTCTCTCATTGCTTGCCAGGCATAAAAGTTTTTTATGATGAATAGTTATAAGGATATATAAGTGGATCTATTTTGATAATCTTAAATGCAAAAAGTCACGGATTATCTTCCGTCAACATAACCATCAACATCCATAACAAAATGCAACCACAGTCATAAATTTCTCTTGTATATCTAGTGGGACTAAAAAGAAGTTTTTGCTTTATGAGTTATTACCTCTGGGACAAATAGTCACAGAAGATCGTTACAGTCAACAATTATGACGTTTGACCAAGCCATGAAGGAAAAACGCTTTCGAATAACCGCGACGCAAAGTGATCCAGTTTCACAACAACACTAGGCCGCATGTTGCTGTTGCGATTAAAGAGACATTAGATTGAGAAGTCCTGTCGCACTTAGCGTACTTTCCAAACATCGCTTCATCTGATTTTCATCTATTCAGATCAATGCAGCACGATCTATTTGATACACAGTTACGAAATGCTGAGAAAGTGCGAAAATTGGTCGATGAATGGATTGCCCCAAAAGATGAGTCATTTTATCGGCGCGGGAACTATTACTCGAAAGATAACAAAAGGTTATTGATAGAAATGGCCAATACTTTGATTAAAATATTGTGTCATCTCATTATTATTAATTAATAAAAATAATCTTAATATCATACAAACTTTTGCAAGCATCTGATACTTAAAAAAAGGAATATAAGCTGAGTAATCATTTTTCTCAGCAGTAGAATAGTATTTTTTGTGTATATTATACCCGAAAAAATATAATCTCATCTTTAGTGGAAAATCCTCTTATAAATCCTCTTATTTAATACTGAGAAAATTTACTAAATTTCAAAAAACGTTTGTTTGGATAATATTGTGAAGATATTTGTTTAAATTAAGTAATTATTTTCTAAAATTAAACAAATTTATATTTAAAACTTCTTTATTTAATTTTAGAAAATAATTACTTAATTTAAATAAATATCTTCACAGTACTATCTAAACAAACGTTTTTTGAAATTTAGTAAATTTTTTTCTCAGTGTATATGAATTCAAGAGAATTCTTCTAAAACTAGAAAAAAAATATTTTAAGCTCAAATATAATTTCTCTTCATTAGAAGAGAAATACTTTTTCGATAAGTTTTCGCTTGAAACATGGACTTACCGGAAATAGCACCTTGCAATTAGAATTTTCTTTTTTTAAGGTGTTCAAATATTTTCTTTTCAGTCTTGGAAGATTTCTCTTGAGATCATAACGTGAGAGAATTCCACCAAGGATGAGATTATATTTTTTTTTAGAGAATGAGACGTACCATTTGTTTAATAAGCTCCGTATATGAAACACTACGCATAGTGGAGTCGAAGGACCTGGAATATCATCTCAGTGCACGTTCGCACTATCCTCAGGATGTAAGCGACGTAAGAAAGGCGCCAATAGATGCGCCAATCGTAACGGCGGTCTGCAATGAAAGAACCCCGTCCAGTGTCATACATCATGAGATCGAGGAAGAGGACAAGAGAATCACGCCGAAAGGCCGGAATCGTGTATTCTTACCTATGTATCGTCTTCGAGCTGGCCAGCTCGGTTTTATTCTGAAGATCGACGTTGGGCTTCTCACCGTTCGGCTGAATGCTATTCAGCTGGAGGTATCCACCGTGCTCGGGTATCGACAAAGTGGATGCGGTAGTGCCGGCGGTGGCACCGGCTAGCAGCAGTGCTTCGACCGGCGCGAACACCAGCACCACACCGTCCACGTGAATGCGGTAGTTCTCGCTACCGTTTTGCCGCTGGTCGTAGTAATTACTGTCAGACTGCGCGGCAGCCAAGGTCGGCGCGGTGGTGAAAGTGGTGGTCGCCTCCGTCGTTGACGAAACGAAGATCTCGGTCTTCGACTCGGTAGTCGACTCGCTGTCGACGGGTAGACAGCGGACGCTTGCGCCGAGGTACGCGATTAGCAGTACGGTCTTGAATATACGCATGTTGATCGAAAACATTGATGAGTGGCTGCTCGCACGTGTCGAGTTGTTCTTCCCACTCGATTCTTGCTCGTAGACTCGCGGAGTCCACTCGGCTCTGATGGCAAACTCGTCACGTGGTCTCCCAACTTCTCGAGCTGTTTCCTGTTCGACGTTAATTGCCGAGATTGCTCCTTGACGTATGGAAATCCTTCTACTTAATTAACAATCACGACCTAGTAAAGCCGTCGATCCTATTCGACATCGAATGACCCCGATGACCACTGGAACGTCTCCTGATTGAGCTGAGACGCGATTAAAACGGCGGCGGATGAAAGTCGCGAGCGAAACGATGGACGACGTTGAAGAACGTGGGACGAGGCGGACGTGTCCGGACGACACGGAGGATGCCCGAGGTGTGACGACCGGGCGATGTCTCGTACCAGCAGACGATTCCGATCCCCACCTGGGCGATCCGAACCTGAGCGGGTTGTGCCTTCAGTCGGTTCTGGAAACGGATCCCCGGAAAAGTTCAAGAACCTCGACCAGCAGCCTGACGACGCCGGCCTCGGTGCTAACGGCGCGTATCGCGCGTCATCACTTTTTGATATGCCGTAAAATTCTTGTAATTTACACGCGAGCTTTAGGTGTTGTCCGCCCAGTCCCGAGCAATTAGACTTCTCCAACTTCTCCGTCCATTATCGATGGACGCTTGTAAAGTCGATCGCACGCTTAAAAGGACCGACGCTTCCCTAATAACGAGTTCTTCAACGAGCGCGGACAGGACAGCGTCGTCGTTTTTTTCCTAGTCTCTTAGTCTCGTCATCACGCTGAATATTTCTCTACTAGCCGCACTTAAAAAAAATATCACTCAAATATCACTTACTCGATTTAATAATTCATTTCAAATACGTTTCAATTCAATTAATTGACAATCGATTCCGGGAAAATCGATCGAGGAATGTTCACTTGTCGATTGGTTTCAATGAATTCAATTAAAGTGACCTCGCATGTAAACGCACGCAAAATACGTTAAATTGAAGGATATATCCATAAAGCGACACTTGCAATCGATTGAGTAGATCTATAAAATAATCCGAACACTACCCCCATTTGTTCTATTAATAATGTACCGTGAATTGACATGAGAGTTATGCTGAGAGATAAATTAAAAATATACATTTTGTTATGTTAATTTATGAGAAATTATTTATTATTAGAACAAAAAGGAAATGTTCGGATTATTTTACAGATCTGTTCGATCGATTGCAAGTGTTACTTTGTGGATATATCTTTTAATTCTGACATTTTGTAAGAATTTTTAGCATACATTTCCTCGCTTCTGACGTCATTAGAAAGAAATAATAGTAATAATAATATTGGTCAATTATCAAAAGAAAAAAAGAAAAACATAGAAAATATGCATAAAAAGAAATACATAGTAAATATGCATAATATTAGCAGATAGATGTTGCGTGTACGTTGGTTTCACAAAACTAATTGTAATCTTAAATAATCGAATGCTCTTCGTTAACCGAATGCATTTCGTTTAATTAATGATTCAAAAATAGTAATAAAAAATTTCACTGCCAGATTTAGATTTAACAGCCAAAAATCTACGAGAAACGATTAGAAAAACTCAATCCGCATCTAGCATGTCGACCAGTGTAATCGCCGTGCAATCGAATATCGAATTGAGACTTTATCAAGAGGATAATGAGATTCTGTTTTAGATCTCGATATAACTAATAAGTCAACGAAAAGTTACTGATCTTGCGACGAATCGCATTTGTTCTCTATTTGATTTCTAGAAAGAAAAATTTATATATTTACTGCTGATACAGTGTCTACATCGTGTCGAGGCTCTCGAAACACCTGGAGATCGCTGTCGAAGAGACAGAAACGTGCTCGTAATAACGAGTTCGCGGATAAATAGCGGATAACAGGAGGAAGCTCGCGAAGATTGAAATGCGGAACTGCCAAGGTTGACTTCTGATCGTCGTCAACGAGGTATCAATGGCACGTTCACGTGTCTTCCGCGGCGGTAACCAGTTTTATAAAAAAAGGAAGAAGAAAAAAAAGAGGAGAAGAAGGAGGAGAAACGAAAGGGAGAAACGTGAGATGACGCCGAAGACAGAGCATGCTTGTATGTGTGCAACAGTTGTTACACTCCATGTGCGACCATCCTGCGCAGGTATACAGACACGTCTGCAGACGTGTGTATACATCTGCAGTAAGCGATCTGTAAAGGGCAATGTCCTATCGTGGCCGCAGCGAGTTCGTTTCCCCGATCTGCCGTCTTCGGCCGGCGCCTATTACCGTAACCTTGCCCTCTCTCTCTCTCTCTCTCTCTCTCTCTCTCTC